AGACCTGCTGGGATGGGGAGAGCTTTCCCAGAACGTTTCAGCTACCTTTTAAATGGTATCTGTGCCCAAAATAAGTGTTGTCTCTATAGCAGGCAGCTTCTAATCCAACTGTATACAGGATTTAGGATTTCTTTCCCATGTCTGGCTGATCTTAATTAGCACTGCAGGCACCTGGAGTTTATGCCTGGAGTAGGAGGATGTGGTTTGCTAATAGAAGTAAACTGCTCTAAGGGCCCTGCTGCTTTTCCTGGTGCTTGTTTAAACCAGCTCCCCACGGGGCAGAGGAGATCCCACAAGCAGCAGTGAGGTGAGAAGGGAGAAAACAGAAACAAGAGCTGCCTGGGATCAGGACAGCTGAAACTTGGAGTGCAAAGTGATATTCCTGACTTAATTTAAGAGTTCACATTTTTCACAGGTGGTGTGTTTGTATTTATGTTGTTTCTGGGGAGTGACAGGGAAGGAAGTTCTTATCAAGGACCAAGTAAATGTATTGCTGGGAGGTGGTTAAAAAAAAAAGTGTTACTGGAAAGTAACTGGGGTTGTTTCCTGTTGTGGCCATGAGTAAAAATTAAATTTTTGGAGATGGCCAAGATGAAATTAAAATGACAGGCAAAGGTTTGAGTGTTAAACTTTCACTGATGATACTTAGGAAGGAGTAGGAATTTAATGCTTCCTGGAAATGGTGTCTTTGGCAGATCCCTGGGCACCCTGATGGATTGTTAAATTAACTTCTACCATTGATAGCTTTGGGTATTGTAGATGAATGGAGCCCAGTCTCATTGAGCTGTGCCACTCCTCCCCTTGATATTCCTGCTGGGCTGGTGAACATCCCACCTGGCACACCTGTGACTTGGTGCTGCATTTGCAGAGCTGGTTGCAGGGTTTGAAGAGGGCTGAATAAATCCACCTCCAAGCAAAAACTGTCTGCTTACGAGTTCACAGCACAACCAGAATCTTAATAGCTTCCCATCGTTTAAAAATGTTTATTCTTTTGAATGTGGAAATCATTTTCTGTATGTAGCTGATTATAAAACCCTGAGTAGGTGTCAGGTGGGGCGTGCATATTTATTAATCACACCTGTCTAGGGGAAGAAAATGTTCCTTTTGCAGCAGTTTTCTTGCTTCCCATTTGTGAGCTGTGGTTCCTTTCTGTGCATCAGAGTTCCAAGGGTTTGGCAGTGCACTCAGCAGGGAGCTGTTCCAGGGATTAGACCCCTTTTGGGGTGGGAAGAGCTTCAACATTTGAGCTGATCCCGTTGCATTTACTTTCGTCATTAGGTTGGCAAATAGATCTATGCCTTGATAATGTGGGAAGTGCTGATGTGTGATCAGCTGGCTGAGCAAGCTACACAAACTTCCCCCAAAGTCTCCTGTGGCCTTAATTCATGTTTCTTTTGTGAGTCAGTGGCACTGTGAGCTGAATGAGGGTGAGTAGCTGAGGAGAAGTAGACAGTCCATGCCACATAGAGGGGAAGGTGGAGTCTGGCATTAGGGACAGATGATCTCCATGGGTGCTTGTGCTGAGTCAGCAGGCATTGGGACACAGCAGCTACAGAGGCTGCAAGCTTAAAATGTGGTATTAACTGTTCAGTTCAGCTGTGCTGGTGTGTTAATGAGCACAGCAGAGAGTCTAGAGTGTAGATTATTCCTGATTGCATGGGGACTGTGCTAAGCTGCTGGAGTTCCTTGAGATTATTATAAGCATGGATACAGGGGGGTCAGTGGACAGAAGTGGGATTTTGGTGTTTCTGATAAATCCTGCATCAAGTATTATGTAAAAGAGATGAGCTGAGTTGCCACAGAATTGGAGGAAAGCTGCTCCTGGGGGTAGGAAAGTAGCTACAAAACAGGAGGCAAAGGGTAGAGCTTTGTAATTGCCTTTCAAATTGGAAAAACGAGCCATGGGAAGTGATGTGGGTGTGTCTTTATTCAGTGCCTTCATCCATGGCCTGGAAAGGGTAATGAACAGTGAAGTCTCCAATTTTGTTGGTGATATGAGCTCTTTCGAGTAGTCAAATTGTGCTGATGCAAGAAAATCTCACTGTCAGAAGGACTCAGCTGAATGAGGTAGGCAGGTAAAAAATGTGGCAGGATAACCTTTGTGTAAGTAAGTGTGAACTAATGAATCCTGGGGGTAAAAAACCCAACACCTAAACCGTGTCAGCCTTGTGTTCAGCTCTGTGCTGTGGTGCTCCCAGGATCTGCCTTGAGTCTTGGCACTGAGTGTTCTCTGAGATGTGTGGAAGTGCTGGCAAAATGCTGAGTGTCATCAGGGAGAAAATGGAGAATTACATCATTTTGTCTGTAAACAATGTTACACCCACCTCCCCAATCGTGTGTGCAGTCCTTGACACGGAAAGAGCAGGAGGTTGTGGAGGGGAGCAGGGAAGGTGAAGGGGTGCAGTGGCTGCCCTGGGAGGTGGAACTGAAATAGTTGTGTCTCTGCACTTTGAGGAGGAGGCTGGGGGAGGGAATTTAATCAAGATTTACCAAACATGAAGCTTAAGGTGAAGGTGCAGCTGTTGTCTGAATCCTCCAAACCCAGAACTAGCGTTCATCAGATTAAACTAAGGGGCCTGTTGAAAACAGGTGAGGTGTATCTTGACAGAGCTGATGGTGAAGCTTTGCTCCCCTCACTTCCCCAGTATCCAGGGGGCTGCTTGGTGCTGATTTGGGCCTTTGGCTCAGAACTGATTGTGTTGGTCCATAAAAATGTGAGGTGCTGATGTACTTGCTGTACTCAGCTGTCAGCAAAGCAGATCCATTAGTTATTTGCTACAGTATCTAAAGTGCTTCCTGTGAAGAATTCCCTCTGTGTCCTGTCTTCACTTGTGGTTGTCCAGAAGGACTTAAAATAAACTATCATGTGCTTCCCAGGGAGTGTCCACTCAGAGCCTCCCCATGCATGGCTGTTCCCTGGTCTGTTCTGTGTTGAAGCCTCAGAAGTGTGTCAGATCCTCTTCCCTCCAGTTACGGAATTGGGAATGTAGTTTGAGCTCTTGCTGGTGCTTCTGTGACTTGGCTTCCAGCACCTGCTCAGACTTGAGTCGCTCTTGCCAGAGTCACACGCTGACTGATTATATGTACGAGTCTTAAGCCTTAAGCTGCTTGTCATTAAGAAAAATGAATTGCTGGTGTCCCCTAATTCGCAGCTGAGTGAATGTGGCTCTTGATGACTGCCTGAAAGCGAGCTGGAAGGCAGAGCCCATCTGAGAAACACTTCTGAGGGCTGAGTCTGCCCTGCCCTCGGGTTGCAGCAGCACCTGAGCGTGTCTGTGCACCGGGAGAGGACTGACAGGAGCCAGCGGGACATCTGGCTCTCCTCATCCACATCAAACACCTTAAAAGCTTCTTTTCTTCTAGAAAACATTGAGGCTGATGTAGAAGCTGCCCCAGGTCAGAGTGAAGAAAAATCCCTGCCTGCTGCACCTGTTCCTAGCCCAGTAGCACCAGCACCTGCACCGTCCAGGAGAAATCCACCCGGTGGCAAGTCCAGCCTAGTCCTCGGTTAAACCTTTCCCTTCCTGACTGTTTTGAACTCGTGTCTGTTTTCTTTCCCCCATGCTTGTGAACTGCACAACTTGAGCCTGACTGTACATCTCAAATTTCTTTCATTAAAAAGAAGCACTTTATGTACTCCATCTTCTTTTGAAATCAAGGGTTTTTTCCACTTCTGTCCTGTGTTTCCCCCAGATCTACTGGAAGTGACATGAGTGTTTTCTAGTGATAGACTTGAGGGAAAGCTTTATGAAGTATTGTAATGTAATTCAAAGGAGAGTAGCTTGGTTCTAAGTGTGCTTAGAGGGTTTTTGTACTGAGGTTTGTTTTTTTTTAGAACCCCTTAGCTTTACAAGGGTCTAGAATCCTGGTTAACCAGGCCAGCAAACAATCAGCAAGAGCAGTCCCTTCCCTCCTCATGTGGGATTTAGGGATCTAAAAGGCGTCATTGACTGCATGTGGTAAATGCCTTGAGCCCTGCTGTGCCATATAAATCATTGAGTGGTTAATGTACACCATGCTGCCTTTAAAAACAAAATAAATCTTGATACTGGACTACTATGACGCAGGGTCTGTGCCAAATAGAGGGCTGATGACCAGAGCCACCTGGCCTAGTGCTGGGAAGGGGCTGATTCAGACTTTTATTCAGTAAAGGTGGAGTGGATCATATAAATAAGAATTACAGGGCATTTTTTTTTACAACTGACTCAATGCTGTGCATGATCATGCTGGTGCTTGACCATGAGGTGAAAATCTCATCCTTTAAAAGTGTGTGTTGTAATTTCACGGAGCTGGATTGTTGCTTAAAAGTAAATAATATAGAAATTTTGAAGCCGTGTTTCCTGTGTGGGTTTTATTTCGTGGGTTTGGTCTTGCCTTAATTCTCAGTTGTCCTTGTCTCAGCCAACCTGCCCTACTCTAACTGAGATGGGATGCAGCAGAGGAGGAGCGTTCTTGCACTTGGTTAAGGCCACCATCATATGCCATCTTCCCCTGAAGGGATTGTCTGACTTCTCTCTTAATTTTTGTCTTCTAGAGCGCAGAAATTTTGAATATGGCTTGATATATGTAATCTGG